TTCAGAGTTGTTTCTTACCGTTGATGATAACCTTTCATGCATTAGAGAGGTCAAAGTCACATACAAATTTGTTATATTAGCCTCAGAACCTTAGTGAAATATTACTTTCTTCTTGCGTGTTAGACAATAACTTTCTAATATCTCCTGGTGTCCAGAGTGCAAGCTTGATTTCTGCTGTGTCTGGGCATTCCTCAGAGAGACAAATGCTGAATGCAGAAAATGAGCCATAAGTGTTATCTGAATTATGAGGCATCTGAGTCTGATTTTTATCAAAGTGAAGGTGGAAGGTATCCACCTTCATTATTTTGAGCTTGCAGCAGATGACAAGGCATGTTCCATGGGGTGACTGATGCCTCTCATGTTAGAGGTGGAAGAGGACCACCTCTAAATAAATCATCCTCTGCACTCTCCTACTTACGACACTGGTCTTTAGCCTTTGGGGATATGCAAATGCTATAGGAGGGACTTGTATCTATACAAAGACTTGTACAACTGGGCTTCCAATTTTCATTGAGGATGTAACGTTATCCTATTTTCCTGGGAGTCTTTGGTCATTGTTATGGTTTGAATGTTTATTCCCTCCAAAACTCATGTTGAAATTTAACTGCCATTGTAACAGTATTAAGAGGTGGGACCTTTCTGAGATGATTAGGCGATGAGAGCTCCATCCTCACAGGTGGGATTAATGCTCTTATAAAAGGGCAAGTTTGGCGACCTTTTGTCTCTTTGCCCTTCTGCCTTCCACCATGTGAGGAGAACCCTGTGTCGTGAATCTGGCCAATGAGATATTAGCAGAAATATTTGGGGGTGAGGGGTGTTTGAAAACATTTTCTTTTGTAATAAGTATAATAATAATCAGCTGGCACAGTCTTGCCCCTTAATTTTCGTCAACAGCAGACACACCAGCATTGAGTCCCTGATATGGGGCATCATTCTTTTTTGGAACCAGCTGGCCACGTGGAAGCAGGCCAATTACATTGGGCCTCTTTTATCATGGATGGGACAGAGATTCGTCCTTACAAGTATAGACAAATAATCTGGATATAGATTTTCTTTTCTTGTCCGTAATGCTTCTGCCAGCGTCACGACCACGGACTCACAGAATGCCCTTGTTCTTAGGAGATACGTGCTGACATATTTAGTACTGAATATAGTGATACTTGAATTTATTTTCAAATGAAAGAGACAGAAAATCAAAGAGGCAAATTGTTAACAATTAGTGAATCTAGGAGACAGGCACATGTAAGAGTTCTTTGTACGATTCTTTCTATGCTTCTGGAAATTTAAAATTTCTCAAACAACTGAAGTAAATGTGCCTATGAGGTGACTCCACTCTGCCACATAAGGAGAAATAGATGTGGGAGGGCACTGAGCTTCTTGGGGATGTACCCAAAGACCCCACTGGAATAGACTAGGGAATTTGTTTCTTTAAGAGAGGAAGTTGCAGGAGAAGGAATGTAAGAGTTTCTATATCCTACCTATGGGAGGGTGAAAAAGTATCTCAAGTAAAGAGAAAGGACAAACTTATCAAGGACATGGCTTTTTGATGAATGACAGGTCATTCCCACCTATTCCTGCTCTGAGGGAAGATTTCCTCATCCAAAGAGTGGGGTCAGACTCCAAAATGGGTCCTGAGGGCTAAAATCCAGGAGTTAGTAAAACTATGTTCCTTCTGTGGGGTCTAGGGGAGAACCTATTTCCTTGCCTTTTCCAGCTTCTAAAAGCTGCCAGCATTCCTTCGCTCATGGTCCCTCCTCCATCTTCAAAGCACATCATTCCAACCTCTGCTTCTGTTGTCAGATCTCTTCTCTGACCCTCCTGCTTTCCTTTTATAAGGACCCTTGTTAGGCCTACTCAGATAATCCAGGAGAATCTTCCCATCTCAGAAGATCCTCAATTGAAGCATACCTGCCAAGTCTGTTGTGCCATGTAAGATATATTTACAGGTTCTGGGGATTGTGATTTGGACATCTTGAGGGGCAGGGGTATTATTCTGTCTACCACATCATCTTGTTGGCATCGTTTGATATATGAATCTTTTTTCTCCTTTAATTTGTTCATGCAATGCATTTTATCATTAGAGTTCTTTTTGTGTTTGTTTGTTTTGTTTTGAGACAGAGTCTCACTCTGTTGCCTGGGCTAGAGTGCCATGGCATCAGCCTAGCTCACAGTAACCTCAAACTCCTGGGCTCAAGTGATCCTCCTGCCTCAGCCTCCCAAGTAGCTGGGACTACAGGCATGCACCACCATCGCTGGCTAATTTCTATATATTTTTAGTTGTCCAGCTAATTTCTTTCTATTTTTAGTAGAGACAGAGTCTCGCTCTTGCTCAGGCTGGTCTCGAACTCCTGACCTCAAGCTATCCTCCCGCCTCGGCCTCCCAGAGTGCTCGGATTACAGGCTTGAGCCACCAAGCCTGGCCTAGAGTTCTTAATGTTCTTCCAATATTAGAAAACCTTTCAACATAATTCATTGTATAAATTTTATACATTATTGAAATCAGCCTTTTATTTGGAATTTTTGTATGTATAACCACAAGTGAAACTGATTAATACTCATCTTTCGGCCTGTCTTTATTGGGTTTTATGCTAGTTAGACAAAATTTATTACAGAACATAAATTGGATATAAATGAATTGAAAAATATTAGTCTAAAAATTAGCTAAAACTCAGCTATAACCATCTGGGTATGGTACCTTTTTAATTGTACATGTTTTAAAATATCTTTAAATTTTATTATGGTTATTCTGTTCAGGTTTTCTACTTCTTAGTAGAAATTAGTAATTTAAATTTTAGTAAAACATATACTTTTTCTCTACTGTGGTTATAGAGTTGCACATAACAACTAGAAATATTCATTTTATATTTAACAAAATTTAATAAGTAATGTTTCACAAAAAGGAAATGATAACGGCCAAAATAGAAGGGAATATAATACTCTTAAACTGAAAAGAAAAAAGTCATTCACAATTACATATCCCAGAATCAACTACTGTTAACAAATGTTACTGTAACTTTACAGATACTGTTACCCAAGTGCCTATCTTTCCGTGTTTATTTATAAAAATTCTCAACAGTATTACATAGTATACAGAGTTTAGTAACACTTTTTCCACCTAAAGTACTTCTGGAACGTATTTCTGTCATTAAATATCCTGCAACTGAATCTTAAAATAATGACATATTAATAGCATCCCACTGCATTCATATTCCATGACTTCCATCCCGGACCCAGCGTTATCCCTCTTTACCCTCCTCCAGTCCCTTGTTCCCTATCCTGAGCCCAAAGTGGTGTCACCGCGTTCCCGACTGCAGATTGCACTTCCCAGCGGATCCCTGCACTGGGACATGAATTCCCAGCCCAGACTTGGCCTCCCGGCTTTATTGCGATTGTGGCGCTCAGGGCTGAAGTGCCGGTCTGGGAGGGCTCCTGATACGTGACGTGGCGTCATCGTGCGCGGCCCCTGGTGGCGGGAACTCTGAACGGTCTGCTCCCTGGCTTTTAACTGCAGTTCTTAGAGGTCCCCGGGCACCCTCCCCGCTCGGCCGCTGCCGCGGGTTCACTTCGCGGACTCGGGAAGTCCAGGCGGTGGCCCGCCCCTCCCCTCCCCCGGTTTGGGCTGCATTTCCCAGAAACCCCCACGGCCCACCACCTTTTTCTTTCTCTCGGCGGCCGCCTGTTGTCTCGGCCGGTCGCTTCGCCCAGGTCCTGGGGGAGGCTCAGGCGCGGCTGGGCGGGCTGGACCGGACTTCCCCAGGGAGAGGTTGGGACCGGACTCGACTCAGCGGAAAGGACGGCCGAGCCGGCCCAGGCCTGGGTGTTTCTCCCCAGCACGGGGCTGCGTTTCCCAGGGGCCTTAACCAGTTGTCCGGCCTGTGGTAAGTTGGCGCGCGTCTGGATGCAGAGGATCGGGACGGTGCGGGCGGGCTGGCTCCCTGGCCTGGGCCGAGCTTGGCCAGACCGGAGTGCCAGGACCCTGAAGAAGCGGACGGTGGGGCGTCCTGGCGCGGGGCTGGGGTTTATCTGGAGTTTAAATGCAGGCGGCTCTCGGGCGTGCCAGGCTGCGTGCTAAGCGCGACTGGGAAGGCGAGAGTGTCGGGCTGTGCCACTGGGATGGGAGGGGAGTATCCGGGTCGTTCGTCCCCGCTCGAGCGAGGGCGGTATCGGGGCAGTGCGCCGGCGCGGGTGGGGGAGGTTTGAGACTGGCGCAGGAGCGGGCTGCGAGAGTGTGAAGGTCTAGGGTATTGCAGCTGTGTGTCTTCTTGCAAGGACAGAAAGTCGCTGCGATACTCCCTGGACGTGCATTGTGGGCCCGGCGCCAGGTGTTCGGCGACCAGTGCCTGCGGGGCTGTGGTGGGTTCCCTAGCTGAGCGGGACTCTGTGTGGCTCTGTGTGTGTGTGTGTGTGAGTGAGTGAGAGAGAGAGAGATAGAGAGAGAGAAGGAAAAAGCCCCCCATGTGGCTGTGTCCTCGACTCTGCCTTTGGGAGAGCTGGGAGGCCCCTGTACATTTTTCTGGGGCGGGGTCTGCCAGTCGCTGGGTCCTGGGCATCTAGATAAAACCCCAGCTGCGTTGCGAGCCTTTGTAGCTCCAACTGCATTTTCAAGCCCAGCCGGAATGCACACAGCCACCTCCACTTAGTCTCCAGGGCCTTGAATGGTGTTACCCTGGGGACTACCTGGGGTGTGTGTTGGGGATGGGAGTGGTTCTAGAGTTTGTAACTCGGAGCCTCTGCTAATTCCACTTCTCTGTTTTTTCACTCTGTAGGGTTCGGGGATCTATTCCTATAGAGATGCCCCCAGCCTAAAGGACAGGAGTGTGGGACCCTGACAAGTGGGTCCATTTAGGCTTGGAGCCACAGACTTGGGCTCAGTGTAAGACGCTGGGCCTGAAATTTCCCCAGGTCAGGCTCTTAAAGAAGGAAGAAGGCTACATACAATCTGGGAGTCTCCCGCAGAACTCCTCTTTGAACCTTAAGGTCGCCTGCTTTTCTTTGTGAGGATGGGAGAGGGTAATGGGGTTGCAGGCTTCTTTGGCCTCCCTCTTAGTGCCTGGGGTGGGGCAGGGATTTGTTCTGACTTGGCCTCCTCCAGGATTTAGGAAGGAACTGTTGTCTTATGATTTCTTAACCCTTTTCCACCTTTTTCTTTCTCTAAGAACCCAGAAGAGGAGGAGAGAAGAATTGCTGGGCTTCTAAAGTCATGGCGGTAGGTTGCATTTGCCACTTTCTTCTCGGAAAGAACTTCTTGGTTTTCAGGACAGTATCTTATTTCAGGAATCCATCCAAAAGGTTTACATTAGTGATTTGGAGAAGGGGGAAGAGGAGGAAACTGCATGTATGGAGCAGTTGTCCTAAACTAGCCCCACTGCTGTCTGTTTTGCGTACATTGTCTCATCTGATCTAGAATTTCCACTTTGGATTTTGTTCATTCTCAGAACATTCTTGACAATGAACATGCCTCAGTGATTTGGCAGGGAAGTTGAAGAGCAGGATAAGGTTCTTCAGTCTCATTAATTTCTTTGTTGTCCCCTCCAGTGTCACATGCAGCAGCCTTTTTGCTTACAAATTTTTGTCTTTTTAAAACTGCTTTTATTAAATATCAAATAATAGAAAGTGTACAAGGGATAAAGAATGAACACCATGTTTAAGAATTAGAATGTTAATTATCATTAGAAACCCCATGTGTGCTGTGATCATCCCAATCTAGTTTTCTTCTTCTTTTTTTTTTTATTTCAGCATATTATGGGGGTACAGATGTGTAGGTTATGTATGTTGCCCATGCCCCCTAGTTTTCTTCTTTAATCTTCAGAGGTAACTATTATTCTGAATTTTGTGTTTTGCAGTCCCTTGCTTTTCTTTATAGTTTTAAGCCTATGTATTTATTTTCTTTTTTAAATTTGATATAAGGAAATCATATTAGGATTCTCCTGCAACTTCTTTGCTAGTCTCTCAGCGTATGTTCAGGAGATTCATTCATATTGTGAATTTATCCTACTGTATACCCATCCATTGTATAAATATATATTTCTTACTTATATTGCATACATTACTCCTGTGAACATTCTTGAACTTGTCTTTTGTTATCATGTGCAAGAATTTCTCTAAGTATGTAACTAGAAATGGAATTGCTGGGTATGTGCATTTTCAACCTTACTAGACACTGCCTAGTTGTTTTCTAAAGTGTTTATACCCATTTACAATTCCCGTTACTTCACTTCCTCACCAACACTTGGTATTGTTAAACTTTTAAATTTTCACCCACTTGGTGGGTATGAATTGATACATTATTTTGATTTCAAATTTGCATATTTTGGTGCTAAATGAGGTTGAACCCCCTTTCATACCTATTGGCATTCATGCTTTCTAAACTTCACTGAAGTACCACTTATGTAATTTTCTAATTTTTCTGTTGATTTTTATATTTCCAGTTTTTTTGTTCCCTTTAATACTTTATAGGCATTTCTTAAATATTGTAGATTGTCCTCCTTTGTCAGTTATATGTGCTATGCATGCTTTCTCAGTTTATGGCTTGACTTGTAACCTTTAAATAATGGTAGAAATTCTCAGTTTTAATACCATCAAATTTAAGATTATTTTCTTTTACTAATTTATTTATATCCTTTAAGTATAAAGATTTTCTCTATTGCTTTCTTTAAATGATATTGTTTTGCCTCTTATGTTTAACTCTTCAACTCATTTGGAATTGTTTCTAGGGTATGGTGTATGGTAGGGGTCCAATTTCACTTTTTCCATGTGGAGAACTAATATCCCAGGACCATTTATTGAAAAGGCCATTCATTGCAAAGGATTAGGCAAATGCACAGTCTGAGAGAACAGTTCCCAAAAAACTACCATCACTTCAGACATCAACTATAAGTTCAGGGGTTCCCATGACCAATCTTACTTCAGACCAGCTAGCTACAAATTCAGGGGTTCCCATAAACCACCCTCAGGTGTAATAATCTAGTAGAAAGACTTACAGAATTCACTGAAAGCTATTATATTCAGAGTCACATTTGTAGTAGGGAAAAGATACATTCAAATCAGCAAAGAAAAGAGATGCATAGGGTGGGAACTGGGAGGGTTCCAGACATGAAGCTTCCATTGTCCATTGGATATGTTACTCTCCCAGTGCTGATGTGTAGCAGTATATATAGAGTATTGTCAACCAGGGAAGTGCACCCAAGCTTCAGTGTCCACAGTTTTGATTGAGGCTTCATTACATAGGAATGATTAATTGAATCATTTTCTGTGTGCTCGAACTCAGTTTCCAGCATCTTCCCTCCCTCCTTTTGCCTGGAAGCCCAAAGCCCCAAGACAGATTACAGGGTTGGTCTTTCTGGCATAGCCAGAGTCATTGCATTAGCATAAACTAACAGATGTGGTCTTAGGGGTCCACCATAAGTGACAGAGACATTCCTATCACTTCGGAAGTTCCAGGTGCTTAGTGGTTACTTCCCAGGAGCCAGGATAAAGGCCAGACTCTCTTTGGAAGCCAAATTCCTTACTACACTGTCGTCCTTTCCCCTTTGTACTTCAGTGGCCAGTTCTGTCATAAATTAAGTTTCCCTGAATATACATTGGTCTGTTCTGGGCTCTCCTTTCTAACCCATTTGTCTATTCCTGCACTAAAACCACATTGTCTTAATTAAAGACAGCTTTGTAGTAATGTTTGATATTTGGTAAGTCCTGTCCCTCCACCATAGAATCTTGTTCTCTAGGAGTGTCTTTTAATTATTCCTGGCCTTTAGCTTCTCCATATAAATTTAAGAATTGGCTGATCACTTCTGAGTGCAATCTTTTTGTTTTGGAAGATTTGAACAGTATATTTCTTTTCCAGAAACTTCCTGCCTCTCTCTAGGAACTTGCTCCCCAGTTCTTCCCATTCCAGTCAGTGATGCTACCAAAGGCTGCTGTCCGTTAAGTGTTCCCCAACAAGTGTTTAGGTACTCAACAGCAAACCACTTAGCATTTCTTAAGTGCATATCCTTCTACCGAGAGTACCAGTGGAGTAGGAAAACTGACCTGTGCTGGGAATTTAACGTCTCCTTTCTTAGAGCTGTGATTTCATGAAGTGTGAGTGGTTAAGTGCAATCACGTTGCAAACTTGGGTTTTCCAATTAGACAAGAAGGGAATTGATGTTGACTTGTTTGAGTCTCAGTATCTGCCAGTGTCTCTAGCTCTCGAGGTTTTTAGGACTGGAGATATGATAGCGATACGATAGATGGAGTGTATGGAGTTATGGGATATTCCCAAGGAGTCTATGCCAGATGGATACCAATAAATGGGTCTGTTTTGAACTTGGGTTGCTTGTGCTCATCATCGTGAGTCTGGATCTTTCTCCAACAGATCTGGTAGCTTGGGAACAAGGGGAATAGTATAGTTAAGGGCAATTTGTGGTTACAGGAACAATTTAGCCAGATTTATAAATTATTGAGAAATAATGACTGTTACACCTGCAGAAGGATCTTAGAGAACTCCAAACTAGTGCTGCAGCAAAAGAACATTGAACACATAAGATGAGGTGTCATGCAGCCAGTAAAAATGATGTCTATTTAAGAATTTGTGGAGACATGGAAAAGTGATTATGATTTTATTTCTTGAGTGGAAGAATGGGGAGGAAGCAGTGAGAAGCATCGTGTGCTCAACATAGGATGTGCTGTGTGCTACATGTGCTTACATGCACAATTTCATTTAATTGGGAAGCACCACTTATCCAGACTTACAAACCCAGGTGGATGGTAGAAGTGCCCAGAGTTAATTTGCAGAAGTAGGCATGCTCAAGAACCATGTGGACACTTGACTGTGATCACCCTTGTTTCCTTTCTGACGCATCCACGTTGAAGGGTCCAGCACAACCTGTTTTCCCAATGAAGCTCCCCTACTGAATTGCTTTTTCCATTTTTTCTTTTATACTGTCTTAAAGATTTTGTCCATTAATTTCACAAATAGTATATTTACTTGTGGTTTCAGGGCTTGAAGTTCAAAGATGTTGTCATTTACTTCTCTCAAAAGGAGTGGGAATGCTTGTTCTCTACTCAGAAGGATTTATACCGAGATGTAATGTTGGAAAATTACAATAACCTGATCTCACTGGGTAAGTTTGTTTATCTGACCCCCCACCCCCAAATTCAGAATTAGCCTCCTGGAATTCTTATGTTCTTTATTGTGAGTTTTTCGTAAGTGCTTTTCAAGTACCTGGTTAAGTTAATGATTCTTGCTCGCCAAAGAATGGTTTGTCTTTTGTGAAGTTGGAAATGGGCTGTTCCATTGGGCATCTTTATTTTCCTCATTTGTTTCTTAATCTACTTGCTCCTCTTTCTTGATAATGAGGGCCTGATTTTTATTTTGACACCTACGCCATAACCTTGTTCCTTTTTTTCCTTGAGCAGGACTTTCTGACACTAAGCCAAGTGTGATCTCCTTATTGGAGCAGGGGAAAGAGCCCTGGCTGGGTAAGAGGAAGGAGACAAAAGAATGGTGTCCAGGTGAGTGATAATGAATCATATTGGGGAGGCTATGATGACTTGTATTTAGTCGCCTAGCTGGCCTGTGAGAAGGCAACACTTCTGAGATGTTGATAGGAAAGCTCCCTAAAAAGGACTGATATCTGGGCAAGAAAGTTAAGGATGTTTCAGCACAAGGCCCTAAAATTTTACTCCATTTACCACTCTCTCACTACCCTTCTATCATTTCCATCTCATTTCAGATAGGAAGTGCTCTCCTCCCTCCCTGTGACTTGTACTTGGGGTCTAGTTTTGTCCTAAGTTTTTAAAATAGCTTTATTGAGATGTAATTCACATACCATAAAAGTCATCCATTTAAAGTATATACTTCAGTGATTTTTAGAATATTCAGAGTTGTGCAACCATCACAACAAGCTAATTGTAGAACATTTTCATCACCTCAAAATGAAACCCAATACCCATTAGCAGTCACTCCTCAGTCCTAGGCAACCACTAATCTACTTTCTGTCTGTATAAATGTGCCTATTCCAGCATTTTGTATTAACGATACCACACACAATATGTAATTTGTGATTGGCTTCTTCCACTTAGCAGAATGTTTTCAAGTTTCATTCATATTGTACATACATCATTACCTCATTTTTTTATGTTGCCAAATAGTATTCCATGGTATAAATATACCAGATTTTTGTTTATCCCTTCATCAGCTGAAAGACATATGGGTTGTTTCTACTTTTAAGCTGTTAGGAATAGTGCTGCTATGGACATTTGTATACAGGTTCCCTTTTTTTCCTAGTTTGTTGAGTGTTTTTGTCATGAAAGGATTTTAGAGCACTTTTTTCAATAACTTTTTCTCCATCTATTAAGACATCCAGTGGTTTTTGTCCTTTGTTTTAATAATTTTGATGTATCACAGTGATAAATTTTTGAATGTTAAACTAACCTTGCATTTTTAGGATAAATTTCACCTGATTGTGTTATATAATTCTTTCTCTATGTTGCTGGATTTGGTTCCGTTTTATTCGTTGAGGATTTTTGCATCTACATTCATAAAGGATATTGCTCTGTAATTTTCTTGTGATATCTTTGCTTTGTATGGTTTTGATGTCAGGGTAAGACTGGCCCCAGAATTAGGTGGAAAATGTTTCTTCTGTCTTTCGAAAGTGTTTGTGAAGGATTTGTATTAAGTTTTCTTTAAATGTTTGGTAGAATTCAGCAGTGAGGCCATTTGGTCCTGGGCTTTTCTTTGTGGGAAGATTTTTGGCTACTAATTCAGTCTCTTTATTTGTTATTGGTCTATTCAGATGTTATATTTTGTCTTGAGTCAGTTTTGGTAGTTTTGTGTCTTTTTAGGAATTTGCCCATTTTGTCTAATTTGTTGGCATATAGTATTGTTTATAGTAGTTCCTTATAACCCGTTTTATTTCTATAAGGTCAGTAGTGATATCCCCTTTTTAATTCCTGATTTTAGTATTTTTTTGTTGGTCAATCTGGCTAAAGGTTTGTCAATATTTTTTATCTTTTTTAAGAACCAGCTTTTGGTCTTATTGATTTTTTTCTGTTGTTTTTCTCTTCCCTATTTTGTTCATCTCTACTGTAATCTTTATTATTTCTCTCCTTCTAAAAGCTTTGAGTTTTCCTTGCTCTTTATTATCTGGTTCCTTAAGCTGTACAGTTAGACTCTTGAATTGAGATCTTTCTTTCCTTTTTTTTTTTTTTTTTTTTTTTTTGTTTGTTTTAGTCTGAGTAGTACTGTATTTTCTGATAAACTTCTCCTCCCTAAAGTCCTCATTTTAGACTGAAATACTTTTGTTTTTCTCTAAACTTTTCCCCTTTTTTTTTCTCTAAAATTTCCCCCTCTTGGTCACATTTGTTTTTAACAGCATTAGCTCAAAATATTTGAAGGCAGCAGCAGTAAAGCTACTTATCATATCCTTAAAATAGACTGTTTTTATCCTTATTATATACAAAAGAATAGCCATGTTTCCAGATTGTACACCTAAACATTTGTTATTTACTTTCCAGCTGGTATAATAGGAGTAGGGATGGTAAATAAAGAAGAGGTAGGCAAGATTGAAAGCTCTGCCTCACAGCATTTTAGGGAATAGTGGCAAAGGTCTTTCACAATGGTATGGAGAGGAACTATTCAGATGACAAAGTTGCCAAGCACTGAGTTTGCTTTTAACATTCTTTTCCCTCCCCCATGGCATCCAGTGACCTCATGCTCTCTTTTAATTGCAAAGAACAAGAGTCTCTACCCAGAGCTCTTGGGCTACAAAACCTATGCTCAGGTTTGAGATTACAAATTGCCTGTTGGCCACATCTAGCCAGGGATGTTTTTTAGTTTGGCCTGCGGGGTTTGAAGTGATTATTTTGACATTCATTGAACTATGTGCTGGGGACTAGTTATATCATGGTGAGTCAAAGAAGTTTTACACTAGTTGTAGGCCACTTTGGGGGAATTGATAGCAGTAGATAAATTGATGAAGAAATAAGCATGTAATTCCAGGATTGAGAAAAAGATAATAAGGACAAAGAACAAGATACTTACAGAAAATTAAGATATTTAGAATGAGAGAAGCTGGTTGTACAGAGATCCTGGAACAGAACATTCACAGGACTGAAACATTGTCTCAAAGGGTCTAAGATTAGAAAGCAATTGGCATGATGCAGGAGTTGAATGGAGGTGAGTATAGTGGACACACGGTGAGTAAAGGTAAGACTGCCTCAAAATGAAAGTGATAGGGAGGTAGGCTTCAGATAATGCAGAGTTTTGCAGGTCTGGTAAGAAAGTTTAGATTTTATTCTAAGTGCAGAGGGAGGGCACGGTATTTAAACAGCGAGTCTCACACTTGCAGTTGTCTCAGAATCCTTGAGGGGGAATAACAAAAGTATCAGTGGCTGTTCATTCATGGAACAAATAGTTACTGAGTATTTACCTTATGCAGGCACAGTGAGGGGCAGGCAGACAACACAGAAGTAAACAAGTTAAAGTATAACATAATCTACTGTTGAGATTAGAAGTGAAGTATACAAATGTCTGCAATATGGATTGATGGATGGATAGATATTTGATAAGACAAATAAAGCCAGAGGTTTGTTATAGAATCTAGGTAGTGGGAATATGAAGGTTCTTTTTCTGTATGTTCGAACATTTTTATAATGTTGGGAAAATAGATAAGATGATGTGATGATAAGTGTGCTATGGAAAAATAGGGTAAGTAGAGTGAGTGGGGCTCTGTTCTGTAAAGGGTGGTCTTGTAAGTTGGTATTTGAATAAAGGTCCGAATGGAGTTATTGAATGAGCCATATTGATATTTTAGGGAAGATATTTGCAGGCAAAGATTCTGAAGGAGGGGTGTGCTTGGCAAGTGTGAAGAACATCCAGTAGTCAGGGAGCTGGAGGAAAGTCAGCTAATAGGAGAAGACAGGAAACAAGGTCAGAAAGAGGTAGTGCAGGACAAGTTTATGGAAGGCCTTTTAGACCAGTTAAGGACTTTGACTTTTACTCTTAATGAGAGGGAGATCCAGTGGAGGATTTTGAACAGAAAAATGACATGCTCTGACTTATTTTAACAAGAACACTCTGGCTACTGTGTTGGGTATGGAATATTAGGAGTGCAACAGTGGAGAAAGACTAGTTAGGTTAGTATTGTGTTACTCTTGGTGAGAGATGGCTTTGGACAAGATGGCAGAAATACAGGTAGAGAGGAGAAGTCAAAATCTGGATAAAGTTTGAGAATGGAGATAAGAGGATTTGCTGCTGTAAATGTCCTAGTCCTTTAGATTTTTATTTAGTTTGTCTTGGATGTTTCCTGGACTTTGTATTTTGAATGTTTCCTATCTGATTCTGATTCTCACCAGAGATGAAAAATCACTGCCTTTGCCTTTATGAGCTCTCTTCATTTTCTCTATTCTCATTCCCCCTCCCTTTTTTTCTCCAAATTGCAGTGTAGTGTTAAGAGTTGTTTAAATTATTCACTATTTTTAGTTTGTCATTTGTGTGTTAGAAATTTTTTCTCCTGCAATGTGGAAAATGCCTCCTGTTTTCTTTCTTGTTACCTTACAGACTGGGAGTCTGGAGGAGAAACCAAGAATTTATCTCCAAAAGAGGGTAGTTATGAAATTAAATCATTACAGCAGGAGATGGTCCGAAATAACAGAAAAATCAAACACCCAGTGGAGAGACAACAAGGGCATCAGGAGGGACATTTCAGACAAGCTGTAATAACCTCTGAAGAAAGGTCCACATCTATTCAGTGCACAGCCCGTAGAGAAGATCAGAGAAATGATACTGGAAAGAAATCCTGTGACTGTAAGAAATGTAAGAACACTTTCAGGTGCCAGTCACATCCTATTCAACATGAAGGAATTCATAATGAGGAAAAGGATTCTGAATGTGGAGAATGTGGGAAAATCTTTAATAGTAGATCAGACTTGATTAAGCATCAGAGACATCATGAAAGCAAAAACTGTAATGAAAATAAGAAATGTGCCTTTATTCATGACTCTGGAATTACTCAACCTCAGAGCATTAATACTGTTGAGAAACTTCATGACTGTAAGGAATGTGGGAAGGCCTTTCATTCTAGTTCACAACTTAGTCAACATCAAAGGATGCATATAGGTGAGAAACCCTATAAATGTAAGGAGTGTGGGAAAGCTTTTCCGTCTACCACACAACTTAATCTACATCAGAGAATTCACAGCGATAAGAAATACTATGAGTGCAAGGAATGTGGGAAGGCCTTTACCCGTCCCTCACACCTTTTCCGACATCAGAGAATCCATACTGGTGAGAAACCCCATAAATGTAAGGAATGTGGGAAAGCTTTTCGTTATGACACACAACTTAGTCTTCATCAGATAATTCATACTGGTGAAAGACGCTATGAATGTAAGGAATGTGGGAAGGTATATAGTTGTGCCTCACAGCTGAGTCTACATCAAAGAATTCATACTGGTGAGAAACCCCATAAATGTAAGGAATGTGGGAAAGCTTTTATCTCCGATTCACATCTTATTCGACATCAGAGTGTTCATACAGGTGAGAAGCCCTATAAGTGTAAGGAATGTGGGAAGTCCTTTCGTCGTGGATCAGAACTGACTCGACATCAGAGAGCTCATGCTGGGGAGAAACCCTACGAATGTAAGGAATGTGGAAAGGCCTTTACTTGTAGCACAGAACTTGTTCGACATCAAAAAGTTCACACTGGTGAGAGACCCCATAAGTGTAAGGAATGTGGGAAGGCTTTTATCCGAAGGTCAGAACTTACTCATCATGAGAGAAGTCATAGTGGTGAAAAACCCTATGAGTGTAAGGAATGTGGGAAGGCCTTTGGTCGTGGCTCAGAACTTAGTCGACACCAGAAAATTCACACTGGTGAGAAACCCTATAAATGTAAGCAATGTGGGAAGGCCTTTATTCGTGGCTCACATCTTAGTCAACATCAAAGAGTTCATACAGGACAGAGGAGTGAATAAAGAAATGTGGGAAGGCTCAGAATTTCATTGACATCAGAAAATTCATGCTAGTTTAAAAGAAAACAAATGTATGATTGTAAGGAACATGAAAAGCATTTGAGTCTAACAATTTACTAAATATCAGAATTCATACTGTAGATATAAGGCCTGAAAGACCTTTATTTAAGGGCCAGAATTGATTTGACATATGTTACTGATGAGAAATCTCATAAATGTTAGGAGTTGGGAGGGGTTTATTTGTGTTTCTGAATTTATTAGACATGAGTTCAGTTGGTGAAAAATTGGAAACTCCATGAATGTCAGAAAAGTGAGAAGGCCTTTTCAGTGGCCAAGTCAACCTCAGGGAATTCATAATGGGGAGAAGCTTAGGAGAGCAGTGAATGTGTTAGAGAAATTAACTTTTCAGACCTTTCTCAATATAAGAGTTATTACCCTTAGGGGAAATCAAAGGATTCATAATATTAATGCCATATATGTGGGACACCAATTTTCTTTAGCCAGTAATTCATCTGACTATTGGTACTTGAGGAATCCTACATTACTGTTAAAAATGCAGGACATTTTTCCATCTCACTCAAACCTTGTTAAATATTTGCAAGCTGATTCTCTAAAATTAACCTCAACTGAATCAACATAGGAAAAGATTTAACCAATGTTTACTTTTTACTTGCCCTCACCATTATAACTTATTTCTTATAGGGCAAATTACTTAACTACATCTAAATTTTCTCATTTATAAATTAGCAATACTAGCATCATATTTCTTACTTGCATTGTGAGGGTTAAATATATTTATATCCTTTAGAACAGTAGCTAGTATTGAAAGTGTGCAAAGTGAGAGCTGCCTTTATTATTCTTCATATTTTCATAATTGTGCATTATTAGAGGTCATATGAGAAGGCCTTATACATGCAGTGACTATAGAAACATCTTGCATTATCTCTCTCTTTTTTTTTGTTTTTCGAATGTTAGGTATAATAATTCCTTCTGGAGGAAAATTTAAAACTGCGCAGCTTTCATGCGTAGCTCTTCCTTATCATGGGATTCATAATGTAAAGAAACCCAGTAGAAAAAAGGTGAGTTGCTGTGAGGTCAGGGGGGAGATTTAGATGATTTATTAAAACCTTAAAAAAAAGAATATGCCATGATATCTGATGTCTGTTATAGACAGTTAGAAAATAACACAGCCTTAGCCAAAATCCATTTCTCCACTAGGAAATTTAAAAGTTAAATAATTTTCATATTAAAAAGAAAGTCAAGGCCGGGCGCGGTGGCTCACGCCTGTAATCCTAGCTCTCTGGGAGGCTGAGGCGGGCGGATTGTTTGAGCTCAGGAGTTCGAAATCAGCCTGAGCAAGAGTGAGACCCCGTCTCTACTAAAAATACAAAGAAATTAATCGGACAACTAAAAATACATAGAAAAAATTAGCGGGGCATGGTGGCACATGCCTGTAGTCCCAGCTACTCGGGAGGCTGAGGCAGAAGGATCACTCGAGCCCAGGAGTTTGAGGTTGCTGTGAGCTAGGATGACGCCACGGCACTCTAGCCTGGGCAACAGAGTGAGACTCTGTCTCAAAAAAAAAAAAAAGTCAAGGCAAATTGCCATTAGGAATGAATGACAAAGACAACACTACATGTTGAAATTTGTAGTATGTGAACAAAGCTATACTCTGAGGAAAAACTAACTTTTAATATGTGTAGAAAACAGGGATGAGTAAGGGCCAGGATTCATTCTGACTTCACAACACCTGGTGCATTAGTTATTCCTAGTAGATTCTCAGTAAATATTTGATCACAGGAATGACTGAATGAATGAATAAGCCTTCAACTCTAGTATGTATAGAAGGTCTAACAAAATAAATGCAAGGCAAAAACAAAACACAAAACTTTGAAAACTTTTTTTTGGAATGAAAAAGATTGGACTCATAAAAAAATTCAAGCATGGTGAGTGAGAAAGCATATGTAACTATGGAAATGGAGGAGATGTTACAGAAATAATGCCATACTGTATTAGCAGACACTGGGTTGCCTGTCCATTAGTGTTAACCGTTCTCCATTTCCCAGGATTGCCTGCTGCTCACCTAAGTCTATAAAATGCCAGGTGCTTGCTCTCCTAGCTTGCTTTGCATCTGGTCATATGTATGATAGTTCTGGACACACATGATTTGAGCAAAAGTCTGAAAATGGACTTGTTAAATTTTCTTTTCTAACAAAATAGGAGGAAATGGTGTTCTTAGCTACAGGATATATGTCTGTGTGATACCCGGAACTCTGGCCATTTTGCAACTAGAGAGTTAAGAAGTTGAGATTGGCACAGGCAATAGATTAGAATTACCTGTGTCCTTGACATTTCTGATCTGATGCAACAATTTGGAACTGCCCTTTCCCTGTACTTGTATGATATAAGAAACTCCATGCATTTGTTGTAAGTTTATACTCAACTTTTTACAATATATCTCAGTCCTGGAAAATTATCCTTTTAAAAAATATTTTCACATATACACACATTCAACTGTAGCAAAATGATAAAATGTTCATGTTTATATTCAGCTTTTATAGTATATCTTTTTATCTCATAGCATATCTTTTTATAGTATATCTGACATTATAGAAAAGCATTATTTTCTGAAATATTTTCTTATATATAGTTGAAATACATACATATATTCAACTTTGATATAGTAAGACATAGGAACTATTTATGTTCAGCATTGTCTTATAGTGTATGTTTATATTCAGCTTTTTAAAGTATGTCCAAAATCCTGTAAAAGTATTATTTTCCAAGAAGAAACCGATAAAACAGCTATACCATATAATTCATCTAGTACCAGATTATCTTATTGATTAAGTCTTCTACCTCTTGAAGATACAAAGAAATCATGGCTATGAAGTTAGCATGACCCTTTTACCAAATTTGGAAAAGGACAGCATCCAAAATTAAGTGTCAAAAATAATCTTTTGTACTTAAAGTATATGAGTATTCCAATTAAAATAGCAAATCAAATCCAGCAGCCTGTTAAAAGAACATTATAGGTTATCCAGAATGTTCATCACCTGGCCTGTCCAATTAATATGTAAATATAGTGTTTACACATTGGGAACTAGACACTATTACCCACTGAAAGCAATAACTGAGAACTAGTATGACATGTTATATGCAGCTGCTGTGAAGTCATTGCAGTTGTCCACTCGATCATACCTCCTGGTCTGCAGACATTCACAACATTTAGAATAATCACCTTCCAGTAGGTTCCACTTCTACCCCACACAATAGGAAAATAATACATATTTTAATTAAGTGAAATGTAAACAATTTATTATGTGGTAAATAAAATCAATCCTAGCTAAATATTAGCCCATTGGGGGGCAATTTATAACAAAAAATTTAAGCATCAAATTTTTCAAAGGGGGAAATACATACTGTTTTCTGCATTGCTGTACTTACTTCAGAAGTTTGTTCTTGAAAATTTTAAGTATTCTTATAAGAGGAGAATTTGTACCCTTCGGAATGATTAATAAAACCAGGCAAAAATAGGTATCATAGTACTGGTTACAATTTCTAACCCTTTTTGAATTATAAAAATTGTTGACATTATTCTCTTTCATTTTCTCCTTACATATACGTATTTCTCTTTTCAAGACTTGAAAGTTCTCTTCCAAATCTATATAACATATTTCACCAAAAACCAGAAATATTAATACACAGTTATCCCCTCAGAATATGTGCAGGATTGGTTCCAGGACCCCCCTGCATGTACCAAAATCCACACATATTCAAGTCCCACAGCCCTGCGGAACCATTTTTATATTACTGTCTGTTAGACGAGTATCACAAAAGCAAAATCCTTTAAATACATGTATTATTAATAACTCAGAAGACATAGTTGTTTTCATCACACTAACATTATACTAGTCCTTTTTAAAAAGATTTAGCCAAGTCATGTGAACTAAAAGGCATTTGAGTTAGTTATTTTTCTGATAAAATATTTAAGTGCTTACTTTTTTTTCAGCCAATTAGATGTATTTCATATATTTTGGTAGTGAAATATTACATATACATAACATATAAATACATAGACATAGAGACAGAAGCAGATCCTATAGCTTTATAAGATTCATTTGCCAGTTTTCAAATAGTTTCTTTCACCCCTGTAGACTATCAAGCCCTATCAAACAATTGCTAGCTAAGCAACCCTAAATTTAAACTCCCAAAGACATAGCTCTTATGCGAAAATTTACATCCCAAAGGCACAGAACTGAACACCATTATTTGCTGAAACAAACAAACAAAAGCGGCATGGGTAAAGGTTCAGTCAAGACACCACAGCTGCGCCATGCCTGGGAGGCTGAGGAGGGAGGATTGCTTGAGGCCAGGACACAGCCTATGATTACATCTGTGAATAGCCACTGCACTCCAGCCTGGACAAGCAAGACCTTGTCTCTAAACAAACAAACAACAAGATTGCTAAGAAAAATATCTTAAACAAAGGTAAGTTTTGTTATGAAACTTTAACCCAATGCCTTTCCTACAGTAAAAGTTTCTAAGGGTTTAGGTGCAGCAGGGGAGATGCCTTTACAAATGGAAATTTCCTTTATAGATGTAAATTTCTCTTACAAACAGTTTCAAAATAGCCAGCTAAATGCCAGAATGTTGTATTTCGGAGACCAATCTAGTTAGATAGGTGGTCTTTTCAACTTGTTTCTTGATTAGATTACCAATTTCAGGGTGGAGGCCCTTTAATAAATAGGGCAAAAAAAAGCATTTGCAGTTTTTAGGGCCTAATATTTAGATATGTGAAAAGCAAAAGGATCCCACTTTTATACTGAATCCTGGATTCTCTCCCCCCCCAAAAAAGGGAAACAACATAAAACCAAGCCACACAATGCTTCCTCGGTGTGCTTTGCTGCAAGGCTGGTATGTGACCAGTATCAATCAGCTCACTCTGATTAGCCCATTCCTCCCCCAGGGATCTTATCCTTTGGTGGAGGGTATGCCCAACC